GCCTGTGGCACAAACAGAGGGGGACAGGGCAGGGGGACGTCCAGGGGAAGGGATGGGGACGCTCACGGCCCTGGGGAACCTGGCGCCACTCACCTTTGCCAGGGTCCGGTCCCACCAGTCCTGAAAGTACCCCTTGTAGCTCTTCAGCTCCTCCTCATCCTCGTCCGTCACCATCGTGACGGGGACCACGCCGGCGGGGAAGTCCAAGGCGTTGTAGAGCATGGTGTAGCTGACTGCCACTGCGGGAGAAGGAGAGCTCAGAGCACCAGCCTGCTGCAGGGAAAGCCTTCGCCCCACTCTGCGTACGCAAGCTGCCAGCTAGCCGGGCGCTTGCACTGGGAACTCAAGGGCTGCGGGACGGAACCCTGCCCCTCGGCTCCCGCAGGCACCGGGGGGTTGTCCTGGGTGTACTCCACGGGGCAGAGCTGCAGCTGCCCCAAGAGCCGAGCTCTTCCCACCGCTGGCCGGTGCCTTGGGGATGTGAGGGCAGGAGGAAGAACGCTTCCCATCGATACTGGCGGAATGCCGCAGCAGGGATGCGCTGGAGACAAAGGTCGGCGGTCCTACCTGAGAGCTTCCCAGGGTAGCCGATGCCAAGAGCCGGGCCCAGCATGGGACAAAGCATGACGTCCAGATTCAGCTTTTTCCACTGGGCGGTGAACTGGTGACAAAACTCCTGAGGAGGAAACGCACTGGTGGTCAGTGGGGAGGATGTGCTGTCCCATGGCTGCTGGCTGAGGCGCTCCTTGGCCCTTCCCCAGGAGCATCCATCAGTTGTGGGGTGAGCTACATCAGGCTATACATCCTGCTATAATCCATCCACCCTTTGCTGCCTGGCCAACAGCCCTCCCAGCGTACAAAGTACCCTCCCCCCTGCTAAAACTGGAGGTGGGGAAAGATTGAGCGTGGGGGCACAAGGCAAGCTGGGACACAGGCATGGGTCTTGAGGAAAACAGAATGGAAATAAAGGCAGGTCTGCTGCAGCTGATGGCCTACGTTTTCAAGTGTAAGAGTAAAAAATTCAGGTCTGATTTGGGATCATGAATGTGTCTACAAGTGGTCCTAATTCTAAATGTGCTGAGAACTTGCACACCCAAGTAAGCTCTGTTGATAAATGATGTATGTTCCTACCTCACATCACCAGTGACTTGATCATCTCCTAACCTTGGTGGGTATTGAACCTGCCTCTTCCCAAAGAGAAATAAACCAAAAACTATCTAACTCCAATTTGCAATGTTTTACCTCAATTTCATGATGAAGACTCCAGACTTCATCCACTGTGCTGAAAAAGGAAACAAAACCAATGAAAGGCACCAAGAGGTGCTGCAAAAAGCAGCTTTAGGGGCAGGGAAGAGCATTAAAAAGCAGGTGGGCACAGGTTAGCTCCACTCCTGGAGCTGCAGCCAAGGGAAGGGAGGACTTTGGCAAAGCCCTGGCTTTCCTCGCAAGGGCTGGGGGTCTTATTGCTGCTTCTGTCCACGATGGAGGGCTGAAAACTAAAGGCAGATTGGTGTACTGCTGCTTTGGCCTGACAAGTGTCCAGCCCTATTACTGCCACTGCGCTGAGGAGGTGGAAGCCCAGGCATATAATTTCTCAAAGGCCAGGCTGGATGAGACAGACTGATCCTTTGATGTGGGGACAAACATACTGCCTTGGTGGCACAGCACAAAAAACACCCTCTCTGCTGCAGGATTTGAGTCCTTTCTCATCACTAATTGCCCAACATTGACATCGCAGCAAGGAAGAGCAAGCCTCCTGCCCTGTGCATTCACCTTCCTTCTGTCTTACGTGGCCCCTACCTCATGGCATGACGGATGCAGTAACCAGTGCTGAAGCTGACATCGTATTTCATTCCCACAAG